GGAGGGAGGGAGGGAGGGAGAGAGCGTGGGGAGGGGAGGGGAGAGCGGAGGGGAGGGAGGGAGGGAGGAGGAGGAGGAGAGGGAGGGGGGGGGGGTTCAGGCCGGGTCATGAGGAGCAGCTCGGCCGGGCTGCCCCTTCCTTCCCTCCCTCCCCTCCTCCTCTCCTCTCCCTCCGCCAGTGACGAGCCCCGCTGCCCCCTGTGCAGCCCACCTCTGCCTGTGCCTGTGCCTGTGCTGGCGGGCCCCTTGCCTGGCTGGGACTGGGACTGGGTTTGGGACTGGAAGGTAATGGAGGCGGACGCAAACCAAGCCAACTCGGTGCTCAGTGCAGACTCCCAGCACGATCCCTGGTACAGCAGCTACAATACCAATTCATTCTGTCGTGGGGGTCTGTCTGTTTGCATTGGATAACACCGGACAGAGAGAGACAGAGAGGGAGAGAGAGGGAGAGAGGGGGAGAGAAGGGGAGAGAGATAGAGAGAGAGAGAGAGAGAGAGGGGGGAGAGGGTTTCTGCCTTTGTGTTGTGTATTATTATTATACGTTATGGTTTTCTTTTAATTTATAAATCACGTTGCATTTTTTTTTCCTGTTGCATTGCAACTGTTGTTGTTGTTGTTGTGGTGGTGGTGGTGGTGGTGGTGTGTGTTTTTTTGGGGGGTGGGTGGGTGGTGGGGGGGGGGAATCACGGTCACGTCTCGAAGACTTTGCAAAGACCTCCTGATGTGGCGTTTCGGTTCCTTTTTAAGAGGTGTTTGGGGTTAAATGGCACAACTTTTTTTTCTTCTTCTTTTGGGCGGCGGTGGTGGCGGTGGCGGTGGGTGGGTGGGTGGGGGGGGGGTTTAAATCAAAAAAATATTGTGAGTTGAGTGTGAGTGAGTGTGAGAGAGAGAGAGAGAGTGTGAGTGTGTGTGTGTGTGTGTATGGTGCCAACATGGCCGAATCCCATGTCTCAGTTGTGTCTTTGTCTTTTTTTCTCTCTCTCCCTCCCTCTCTCCCCTCTTTCTTCATATTTATTTTAGCAAAATGTTCGTCGGGGGATTGAGTTGGCAGACCACGCAAGGTAAGGTCGTGAATTACATCTCCAAAGTTTTTTTGGGGGGGTCTCTGTCTCTCTCTCTCTCTCTCTCTGTCTCTCTCTCTCTCTCCCTGTGTCTCTCTCTCTGTCTCTCTCTCTCTCTCCCTGTGTCTCTCTCTCTCTCTGTCTCTCTCTCTCTCTCTCTCTCCCTGTGTGTCTCTCTCTCTCCCTCTGTTCGTATTGTGTTTATATATCTGTTATCATTTGCGATTGCACTGGAAACTATGTAACTGTGATAAGCATAAATCACTCTCTCTCTCTCTCTCTCTCTCTCCCCCTCTCTCTGTCTCTCTCTCTTTACCTCTCTTTCCTTTGGACAGACCTCTGCGTTTTCCTTTTTTTTAAATTTAATTTTTATTTTATTGTGGTTTTTTTTTAAAAAAAAGAGTCAAACCAGTAAACGGGGTAAATAAAACCAGTGCCTCGCCAGAAGGAAGGAAGAGGAGGGGGTATTTAAATATATCTATATATATATATATATATATGTATATGTGCAGTGTGTGTGTGTATATCTATATATATATATATATATTTATTCTGCAACTTAGTGAGACGGTGTTGAGGTTCTCTCTGTGCGATCCCCCGACCCACTCATTTGCTTTTCTTTGCTTTAACAGAAGGTCTGAAGGAGTATTTCTGTAAATTCGGAGACGTCAAGGAGTGTATGGTGATGAGAGATCCAGTTACAAAGCGATCCAGGTATGGAAAGTGGAGGCGCCTTTGCCCCCTCTCTCCTCTCTCCCTCTCTCTCCTCTCTCCCCCTCTCTTCTCCTTCTCTCTCCCCCTCTCCTCTCTCTCCCTCTTTCCTCTCCCTCTCCCCCTCTCTCTCTCTCCCCCTCTCCTCTCTCTCTCTCTCTCCCCTCTCCCTCTCTCCTCTCTCTCCCTCTTTCCTCTCCCTCTCCCCTCCCTCTCCCCTCTCCCTCTCTCCTCTCTCTCCTTCTTTCCTCTCCCTCTCTCCCTCTCCCTCTCTCCTCTCTCTCTCTCTCTTTCGTGTGGAAAAAAAACCACTGTTTCTTTTCGCGAAGTTCGCGTTTTTTAAAATTTTAATGTCAAATAAAATGATTTTTGTTTTGAACCCGAACAACACGACGCAAAGCTCATCCATCGCGGCCGATACCCCACATGGGACGATTGCGATGTATTTCCTCAGATGGTCGCTGTTGATTTTAAATAAAAAATATTCTCCTCTCCCCCCCCACCCCCACCCCTTATATCTACACATATATATGTATCTCTCTCTCTCTCTCTCTCTCTCTCTATATATATATAATAAAAAACTACACGTAAATAAATGGTGAATGGTTTATTTTTATTTTTTTTCTCTCTCTTTGATTTTCAGAGGATTCGGATTTGTTACCTTTGTTGACCAAACGGGAGTGGATAAAGTTCTGGCACAGCCGAGGCATGAACTAGATTCTAAGACGGTACGTGTCTCTCTTTACCCCCATCCATCCCTCCCTCCCTCCCCACCCCCCCACCCCCTCCCTCCCCCACCCCCCTCCCCCCCCCCCCACCCCTCCCTCCCCATCCCCCCCCATCCCTCCCTCCCCATCCCCCCATCCCTCCCTCCCCATCCCTCCCTCCCCACCCCCCCATTCCTCCCTCCCTACCCCCCCCACCCCCCTCCCCCTTCCTCCCTACCCCCACCCCTCCCTCTCCTACTTCACAAACGTTCAGAAATAAGTGTAATGGTGCAATTCACAAGGATCCGACCCTCTTGCAGATCTGTTTTGCAATGCAGCAGATAGAGGTGATCAGAAACTGAGCAGGTTATCAGATTATGCCCTTCTCTCTCCCCCCCCCCCCCCCCACACCCCCCCACCCCCCAAAAAAAAAACTCCACCTCCCCACCAACCACCTCTCTGTGTTTTATTTTTGGCGTTGCAAAGTCATACACACACACACACACAGAGCCCACGTCATGTATTTGCTTTGCAATCCACGCATGTTTGTTGAAGTTTCCCACAGCTGATTAAATAGTGCAAAGCTTTAAAAGTGGAGGAGGGCAGAGACTCCTTCAGCTGATGGGGAGGGCAGAGAGACACAGACAGACAGACTGACAGACAGACTGACAGACTGAGGGGAGAGTAAGAGTTAAGAGAGAAAAGGAAAAAAGAAGCCCCTTTTGAGCATTCCCAGTTGCTGATCATTGGCATAGAAACAGGGGGTAAGGGGGTGGGGGGGGGGAGATCTTAAATAGGTCAGTATTCATTCATCAGTCCAGCACTTAGCGACATTTAAAAAAAAGCCATGGCCGATTTTCCAGTTTCCGAGCAAAAATGTGGACGGCGAACAAAATAAAAGGCTCACTTTGGTTTCTTTTTTAAAATTAAAATGTTGTTAAAATGTCCATTTAATGCCTGATCTCTCCTTGCCCCCCCCCCCCCCCCCCCCCCGTGAGATAGATCCAGTCAGGTCGTGAGGGTTCAGAAGCAACAGCAACAAACTAGATTTGCACGTAGCGCCTTTCATGTTGGGAGGATGTCCCGAGGCGCTGGACAGTCAGGGATTTGGACCCGAGCTGGGGGGGCGATGGGGGGGGGGGGTGGGAGGGGTTGGGATCAGGATCAGGAGGGGTGGAGGGGAAGGAGGTTGACCGAAGGCGTGGTTGAAGAGGGGGTAGATTTCAAAACTATGTGAGAACTGGACTGGATCGTATTCGGAATAGGTAAAGTGGGACTCTTGACGGATTTGCTCGTGCTAAGGTCTGTTGGTGAAGTGCCCGAGGTGGCTGGACTGCAAAGTGTCTGCCGTTTCCTTTCTGTTGTTTCACGCACATCGTGTGTTTCGCCTCACTCTCTCCCCCCCCCCACCCCCGCCCGCCTTTCACGTTATATCACACTAATCTGCTTAAGTGGCAGTCTTGTTTCAGAATCCGCTCAAGTACAAGATCAGTGGTTGGGCGGTTTTTAGTTTATTAAAACTGACCAGAAATTGACTAGTAGAGAGAAATGGGAGGGAACACAGAGAGAGAGAGCGAGAGAGAGATTGTGACAAATTTTAATCCTTTTGATATGGATTTTCCCCCCAAACTCAGATTAATGAACTGGATCCGCGGAACTCTTTGGTTGATAGGAGTTTGAACTGTGAAAATTGACATTCATGTCTTTTTGAAATGGGACAGGATGTGTGTGTGTGTGTGTGTGGTGGGACGGGAGGGGGGGGGCAGTGGTAAAGAGTATTTAGAGTATAACCAAATCAATATAGTTTGGGATATGAAGTGTGCATGCGAACGTGAATTGGATGGACCTTGGTCTTCTTTGGTCTAGCAATTCTTATGTTCTTATGTCATCTGAATGTCTGTTCCGCCCCCCAACATCCAACCTTGTAACTGTTTGAAGGAACTCTAGTCTGTGGCCTATTCGTGTCCTGAGAGTGCACTGTGCTGGAGGGTGGGGGGGTTGTGTGTGTGTGGGAATAATGAAGCTCATAACTGCTCGTCACTGGCAGAGGCCTGGGTGATGTACCCACTTTCAATCAGGAAGCAGTGCGTGGCACTGGGGAGGGGGGTTGCGAACACGAGCAGAGAGAGAGGGATAAGAATAATGGGCAAGAAAAGGTTGTTAGCACTCCTTTGCTCAACTGATCCTTCTTTGGGTGAGTGAGCTTATATGAGGTGTGTTCGTGGGCTGTTTGACTATGTGTGTGTGTGTGTGTGGGTCACAGGACAGGCCAAGCTTATCATATATAATACAAAATATATCATGAAATAATCCACAAAATATACAGTCAATTCACTTTACGTCTTCTAGAAGACGTTCAAAGCGCTATATCAAATGCAAGGATTATTATTATTATTTTGTGAAGCACTTTGAGATGTCTGAACGATGTGAAAAGGCGCTAAATCAAATTCGAGGTACATATTATATATTATTATAAGATATTATACACACAATCATTCATTCACACTTTGCTCTGACTCTCTCTCTCTCTCTCTCTCTCTCTCTCTCGCCAGCAGTAGTCTCTCTCTAGCATAGTTGTAGAGTTCCCACTGCCCCTTGACTAAGACCAGCTAACGGTGTGTAAAACTGGGCATTGAACCTCTGTAACCTGGTTCTGCACCAGGTGGTGGTGCCTCTACACATTGCATCATCAGGGGATCCCTAAAGAGAATTTCCAAATCAAACTGCTTTTCACTGCTTTGTGACAGTCTCTGCTATTTTCCACCTGCCTTTTATTGTCAAGAAACTGTACTGCAATTAGGAGTGGAAACAGAGCAACAACAATTTTAGGTGTAGGCTAATGGATTAATACCAACATATTTTTTTCCCCTGTGGGAAAATGAAATTGGGATTGTTGTATTCGTTTTAAAACGAAACCTACTAAAGTGTCCTTCTCATAGTGTGTTCTTATAATAATAATAATAATAATCCTCGCATTTGAGAAGGCGCTTTATCACGTCGTTGAAACGTCTCAAAGAGCTTCACAGAATACATCGTAAAGCATATTGACTGTATTTTGTGGGTGAAACGCGGCAGCCAACTGTACACAGCAGTGTCCCACAAACAGTCGTGGAGTGGATTTTTTTGCTGGGGGCGGGTGGGGTGGGGGAGAGGAGGAGGAGAGATTATTACCCCTGATAATCTATTGCCTGTGCGTAATTGCGTTTTGAGAGTGCGTTTCATATTTGCTGAGCAGCCCAGCCTTTTGCTTAAATCCATGCAGGGAGTTGTTGGAGAGGGAGGGACGCCGGTTTCAAAGCAAACCTAAGAGCCCTTTGCCTCGCACACGCAGTCCTGGCCCTCCCTTTAAACTGTGAGTGGCCTCAATCGAAACAGAGGCTGGGTTATAATCTCTTTATTCCCTCCATTTAACACCTCAGTGATACCCAGGCACAGACTTGAGACAGCAAAGCCACCGACCGACCAGTTTCCATTTTGAACGACAGGCCAGTTTGTAAATGAAAGTTGCATTTGATGAGCCCCACCAGTTGCAATTTAAAGCCAAATTTTTACACTCCTCCTCGTCACCTCCCCCCTACCCCCCCACCTAAAAGAAAGAGGTACGAAATGTTGTAATAAGTTATTTGCCACAAAGAGTCTCCAGTAGCCTCAGACGCAGAAAATTAATGTTAATGAATTCGGTACAACTCCCATTTAGCTTTTGTAAAGAGACCCGATCTCCCTTTGTTTGACCTACAAAAGCCATTTTTTTTATATGGGGAAAAAGAAAGTCAGTCTATAGAGAGCAGTCCCTTTTAACACACCCAAATTTTTGTCTTGTGCAATTGTGTTTGGAGACAATTGTGTGTTTGTTCCTTTGCTCATGTGGTCCAGGGTTTCAGGAGAAAGCTATCCAGTTGCTCATTATATCTTGAGAACCCCAAAGCTCCAACCACAGTCTTTTTTCAGTATGAAGAAGGCACTGAGCAGCACAGGCTCAAGTGATGCCAAGTGCTGGCTTCCACTGCCAGCTGTTTGGAGTCCTGTAGTGCATTGGTTAGAACGCTCGCCTCACAAGCGAGAGATCCTGGGTTTGAATCCCGGTGGGGTGGGGGGCGATGCGAAACTGTAGGCAAGTTTCCTTACACCACGCTCTTCTGTTTACCTAACGGTGGGTAGGAACCCGGTTGTTAGTCGATTGGTGGTTTGCTAACTGTGGGTAGTAATCCCTAAAAGAAATAATAATAATAATTTGTTTATTATTTGCGAAGGAAAGTGTGCGCAACTGGCTGACGAGTTTCGGCCCACAATATATATAGTCAATTCACTTTACAGTATCTTCTATGAAGCGCTTTGAAACGTGTCAATGACTGGCTAAGGCGGGATATCAAATGCAAGGTTTATTATTATTATATTATAATTCCATCATACATTCATTATTTCCCTCTCCTTCCCGGAGGGTTAGTTACCACCTGTTCTAACAGGAAGTTTCACACAGCTAATGTCATAAAGGCCCCCTTTCACAGCTCTCTCTCCTTAATACAATACAGTTTATGTTTATTTGGTGCCTTTCACGTCGGGAGGACGTCTCAAAGTGCCAAAGGCATCGGTTCATACGTCAAGTGTTAGTGTCCCGTTAGTGTCGACAGGCTGTGTAACTGGGAGGTGAAGTTCTGGTGATATAAGGTGCCGTATGTCCAGGTCTCTACTAAGTGGATATGCTTTACGTGTGAGCCACGGCAGTGACTGAGTGTTGTGTCCACTGCCGTTTACTTGATTGTGGAGATGATCACTCTTGATCTGCAACCACCCCTCCCCCCTGATGTCCGTACAGACGCACGCACTTCCTGGCCGGTGTGGGGGGTGGGTGGGGTGCGGGGACAGGCGCGGGCTGGCGGAATTGCTGGGTCCAATTGTAACCAACCCTCGCTCCACCTGCGATTGTAAATGAAACCTAACGTGGGATGGCTCAGTAACACAATGGGGAGGGCTATGGAGCCCAAATTAGGCTTTCTTTCTCTCCATCTCCCACCCCCACTCAT